GAATGTTTATGTTCCATTCCATGCTGAATTTTGTGGGGCAACAATTGGCAATATTGCTATTATAACTGTTTATAGATCTCCTTGTTTAGGAAATCCTTCATTATTTATTGATGCCTTCAATAGTTTACTGAATAGTATTTATTCTAGACATAAGAACTTATTGATACTTGGCGACTTTAATTTAGATTTCAGCAGTAATGTTCAAACAGTGACACACCTATGTAATATTTCAAATTCATTTGGCTTACGTCAATGTATTTATGAAAATACCAGAGTTACACCTACTTCGGCGTCTTGTTTGGATAATATATTGACCAACTTGAACAATGATAATATTGAGACAGGGACAATAGATTTGAACATTTCCGACCACTTAGGAATTTTTTGTGATTTTTTTATATTACAAGATGAGATTCATTCAATCAAACCGCCCAAAAGACGCATTATTACAAAAAAAGAATGCTTTCATTTGCCAACAGAATCCATAGTATGGCGTCCGACATGAATGTAGATTCTAACTCTGCAGATAACATGGCAAATAGTATCTACCGTTTAATATCAAACTGTATCGATAATTGTTTTCCGTTAAAAGCTGTGGATAAGTCAGCTCACAAGGTTAAGTGGTATACGCAGACACTGAAGCAGCTAAGGAAAGATATGGTGAACGCAAAGAGCCAGTTTTCGCATAGCGGGGATGAGCGTGATTGGGAGAGGTATAAGGATATACGTAGAATATACCGTCAAAAATTGAAATTGGAAAAAAGGAACTTTTACTGTGAATTGATACATCAGGCGGAAAATAAAACTAAAGCAATCTGGAAGATAGTCGATAGAGAGAAAGGCATCAGGAAACAGAAACACACAAACGTCTCAAGTGATGAATTCAATAGTTTTTTCAGTACTATTTCTTGTAAAATTCTTGAGGGCATTGAAAAGCCTACTATTAATTACTTGTATCTCCTCAACCGTACTCCCAAGACACCGCATTCGTTCTTCATGTCTGCGATACTCCAAACAGATGTGAGATGTGCTATAGCTCAACTAAAAAACTCACCCTCACTCGACTTCTATGGTATGAACCGTGCTATGTTGAAAATAGCCAGTGAGGATTTCATTGAACCTTTAACAATACTATTTAATAAGTGTGTTAATGAAGGCGTATGGCCTGATGCTTTTAAATTGTCAAAGGTCATTCCCATTCATAAGAAAGGGAATGAAGATGATCTCGATAACTATAGGCCAATCACAATAATTCCATTAATAAGTAAATTATTCGAAATTGTAATCAAAGAAAAATTAATAAAGTACTTTGAAAAGCACTCCCTCCTTTCAGCTTCCCAATTTGGTTTTCGAAAGCACTGTTCAACCATTAAAGCCATGCTTAGTTTTCTTGAGGATGCTTTAGAGTGCATTGACCAGAGAACCACTGCTCTAGCAACTATGTGTGACTTAACCAAGGCTTTTGACTGTGTAGACGCAGTTATACTGCTTGACAAATTGGAGTACTATGGGATCCGTGGCAAGTCATCACAGCTTATGAGATCATACTTAGCTAATAGGAGACAGATGGTTAGCCTTGATGGAGTAGAATCCAGGTTCTACCGATTACGAACGGGTACCCCCAGGGCTCTGTCTTGGGCCCTCTATTATTTTAATCTACATCAATGACCTCCCACAAAATGTCAACAATAGCAAATGCTACCTTTTTGCAGACGACACTACTCTGCTCTCCAAGGCTACCCAACTTGACGAGGCCCACAGTCTCGACCAGGTTAAGCAGTGGTTCTCCGCAAACAAGCTCAAACTTAATGAAGCGAAAACCAGCAAGCTAAGAATAACATCAGACAAATGGAATGAGACTTCATCATCCGTAAAGTTATTTATTATTATTATTATTATATTTATTATTATTATTACAACTATTATTATTATTATTATTATAATTATAATTATTATTATGATTATTATTAATATTATTATAATTATTATTATTATTATAACTATTATCATTATTATTATTATAACTATTATTTGTTTATTTTCCACAGCCCTATCTATTCAACTGGTTCTGTCCATGTGGGCCGGTTTTGGTTGGTCATTTTCATTATGGTACTTCGAAGATGTTACCCACATCCTAACGAAGTCCATTACCTTATAGTGTCTTACGTAATAGGGTTGCTGTACCATACAAAGCAATCTCCTGCATGTCTGCTGCCCTGTGCCTTCCTGGTATGAGATTTAGGTTTTCATGTAGATTGTCTGGGATCGTCCCTAATGCACCTAAAATTACGGGAACTATCTTCGTCCTCAGATTCCACATTCTTTGGGTTTCAATTGAGAGATCTTTGTATTTCAATTTCTTTTCAGCTTCTTTATTTACAACGTTTTCATCGTTGGGGACTGAAACATCTATTAGCAGGCAGGTTTTGTCACGTTGGTTTTTGACGATTATGTCTGGGCGGTTCGCGGATATCTCACGATCTGTTTGCACTGGTAAGTCATATATTATGGTAATCTCATCTTTACTAACTACTGGAGTGGGGTTGTGATTATACCATTTTTCTTCCACTGCGATCCCAAAGCTTATACAGATGGCATGATGCAAGTATATGCATATTTTATTATGTCGGACCAAGTACTCGTGCTTCGCCAGTTGAGGACAGCCGGATATAAGATGATCTATTGTTTCTGAGTATTGTTTGCACATTCGACATCTATCATTTGCTGTTATTTTGAGGATATGTTTCTCATAATGTCTTGTACGTAAGGCCTGGTCTTGGGCGGCCGTTATCAGGGCCTCTGTTTCACCTTTTACCTTCCCTCTCGTGAGCCACGCAAACGTTTGGCATTCATTAATCCCTGGCCTCTTAATTCTCTTCACGTATTGACCATGAAGCTGCTTCGTATCCATTTATCCTTCAAGGTCTTCCTTGTCATGGACTTAATATCTGTAGACAGTAATTCTTCTTCATCCTCGACCGCTTGATTTTCTATTTCCGGTAAATGTGTCTTTACAATTTTTATCGCTGACTTGACTACTGACTTTCCAACTCGAGGGTGCCTTTCACATCTCCAAATTTGTCTAACTAACTTATCATTTCTGCGGCTTCCTAAATAATTGGCTATGGATTCAACTGTATTATCATAAGTCATCTCTAATTGCCTCAGTCCTCTACCTCCTTCTTTACGACTCACATATAGCCTGTCTACATCAGCTCTAGGATGCAGCTGTCCATGAATAGTAAGCATCTTCCTTGTTTTAAGATCTAGGTCTGCAATTTCCTTCTGACTCCAATCTATGATTCCAAAACTGTATTCTACTATTGGAACAGCTATACTGTTGATGGCTAGCAGTTTATTTCGTGCTGTTAAGTCTGAACGTAGTACCATCCTAAGCCTTCTTAGATATTCTTTACTGATGGTCTCTTTCATTTCATCATTACACAATTCTGGGTTTTCATAAACTCCAAGATATTTATAGCTTTCTCCAGCATCTAGGTTTTTGATGGTAATATTTGCCTGGACTGTTATGTTTTCCGTTTTTTCCACTTTTCCGTTCTTTATTGTCGCTTTGGCGCACTTATCTAATCCGAAGTTCATATGAATTGTGCTACTGAAGTCGTGAACTATCTTAATTTGCTCTTCAAGCGCTGTGTCCGAACTCGCGTATAGCTTTAAATCATCCATGTACAGAAGATGTGTTGTTGGCTGCTCATCTTTGAGTAGTTTATATCCCAATTTTGGCTTTTGATTTAGCATTCTGGACAGGGGGTACATCATCATGCAGAACAGGAGAGGTGATAGTGAATCTCCTAATTATTATTATTATTATTATGATTATTATTATTATTATTATAAATATTATTATTCTTATAGTTATTCTTATTATTATTATAATTATTATTATTATTATTATGATTGTTATAATTATTATTATTATTATTATTATTATTATTATTATTATTATTATTATTATAATTATTATTATTATGATTATTAATATTATTATTATTATTATTATTATTATAGCAATTATTATTATTATTATTATAATAATAATAATTATTATTATTATTTAATTATTATTATTGTTATTATTATGATTGTTATAATTATTATTATTATGATTATTATAATTATTATAATTAATATTATTATTATAACTATTATTATTATTATTATTATTATTACAATTATAATTATTAGTATTATAGTAGATCTTTTAAATCATATATATTTTCCTGTGCAAGCTCAACTACTTTGTAAGGATCCTTTCTTTTAGCTGTCCTTACAACCGTATACCACTGATCTGGTGTGTATATAGGTATATTTCGAGCAGCTCTTTCTATTACGCTATGTACGCAATCGCCTTCACTTTGAGTGTGGCCTTTTTCTAAGTAGGTATGTTTTATTTTTATTTGATATTTTTGCGATAAATAGCTGTACAAAGAGTACAAAATCTGTTGCGGTTTTGACCGCTACAGTTGTCAGAAAAGAAGCTAAATTCTCTTATTCCTTGTTCTACTTGGCTGATAATGTACAAAAGTAAACAACTTCCAATCTCAGAGGCACCTCTGTTTCCGACTACCTCATTCCACATGTAACAATTGCACTCTTTTGTTGCTAGGTTGTACACAGTAAAGTTGTAAGTTGATAATTTTAATTTGTAATAGGACAGGCCAACATTAGATTTGGGAACTGGCAACACTTGTTGCAAGTCAAAGACAGCGCAACAAACCTCACTGCTATTCTCAGCTGCTCTTTGTTTCTCAAACTGTTTGATTTCTCTTGCCCTATTTTTATTTAGGATATGGATGCGATAATCTTCTTCCAACTCTAATTTTTCTTCAAGAGAACTATTATCGTAGTTGTGGCAAATATCGCAGAGATCCTTTTTGGGCTGAAAGAAGGATAGATTAAAATCTCTATTGAAGATTGTTCTATACATTGCTTCAGTTACTGTTTTCCTAATATTCTTTTCCTGACAATACTCCAGGTACATGGTATACATCTTGCTTACGTTAAGTGTTGGGGGTAAATATTTACGACTGGTCTTTTGTCTGCAGTAATGACTTTCAATTGTTTCAAATAAGTTTATGTGATCCCTAACATTTTGTTTAGTAGACTCGTCAATAAGAGTGTTTTTGCAAGCTTTTCCTCGTCTATCTTCGGAAACAATACCTGAAGTTCCAGTTTTGTTCATAACGGTTTTGACTACCTGTGCACTGATTGACAGTGTATTTAGAAAAAAAGTTTTACATATTTGCACCTTATTGTTTTCATTTTTGGGAAGAGAGTATGTAAAAGTACTGTTTCTTCTACTGTTTTTATCATTAGACAGTTCTAAGAATGTATTGTCATTCTTTTCTGGTAATTCAGCGGGATGATGCTTATTCTTTTTACGAATTCTAGTTCTAGCTTTAGAAACTACTGTAACATATTTGGATATAAAATCACGTTGGCGGTTGACATCTCCTAATCCCCAATATTCAGTAAATATTTTATGTCTTTCTTCTTCACTCATTTTATTTAGACACTTCATTCTACATTTCTCTTCACATGATGTTTTCATTTTTCTTGCTAATTGTTTTTTTCCTTTCCAGTTGGTGTATTTCTTTCCTTGATTTCTCGATGACTTAATTATGTTTCTTTTCCAAGTATGTTCTCTTCTTAGCTTTTTTTTAGATATTTTTCTAGCATTTTTATTCTTTTCATCTGTGTTAGAACTTGTATCAGTTTCTTGATAATTGTTTTCAAAATTAAAGTTTTTTCTCTTCTTTTTGCTTTCTTGTGGATTAAAATTAGGGTCGTTTTCTTCATCATCAGTTTGGAAAGGATCCGTGTCCGATGATAAATACAGATCCTCTTCGACAATATTTTTCCGTTTGCCACATTTTTCAGGGTCCAATTGGTCAGTTTCTATTACATCTAGAACAAAAAGTCTCAGTAAGAAATTTATAACAAATACCTACTTTTAAAATTGACAACGAAAATAAAAACCAAATCATTTATGAGACCAAAATTACTTACACAAACATTAAAAATAAATAAATGATTATTTTTTTAAACAGACCGGAGGTACTCACTTTCTAGACCCCAAGGATAACTAAATATTGTTGTTGAAAAGCCTCAAAAGCCTATTGTTTTTTTAGCCTTAAAAACTGTTATCAACAAAACCGGAGATTTAGATATTATTTTTGAGGATACAAGTATACACACCTTATAAAACACTCTTATTATTCTATCTTCTATTAAAAAATGGGCCACATACATTTATTTGACTGAAACTCAGTATGCTTGGCCAATAATCCTATCCTAAGCAAGATGTATACCATGTACCTTGAGTATAATTGCTTGTTTACTGGTAAAGTGTTTGATTTTTAATATTACTAATTCTTTTTACTCGTTAGTTTGCTTACCTATGATTTTTTCGAGAACACTTCTTACTTCTTCACTAGCATTTGCGTCTCCTTTATCGGCCACAATCGGTGTAACTTTATTGGATTCAATACTCAAAACTGATTTTATATTTTCGAGGTTCATACTGCAAAATGCATTATCGCTCTTGTTAAAAGCAGCCGTTTCCTTAGAGAGTAAATAACCAGGCGGCATAAGATTTGCTGTATTCATCAAATATTGGGCGTCTATTTTTTCTGGTCTTGCAGATACTGTTAGTTTGTCATGATTGGTATCTATAAAAAATAAAGTAAACATTATTCAGTACAGAGTTTTATGAGTGTAGATCGTATTATTTGTTTTTTTATTTATACAATTAAAAAAATAAATAGAATTTATCCTGAACCAGTAGCTAAAAACGTATTTCCAATGTTAACGTGTTACTTAAGAATATTTGTATAGCTAGAAAAGCACTACTTACCATCACAGTGCCTGGCCAGAAGATCAAAAATTTTTTTCCTTCTAGAAACTCATATTTAATTTGTTTACGTTGCGCAAACTCGATCACTATACACTAAGAACTGCTTTAAACTGAGGTAATCTGCGTTATTCGTGTACGGTGGCGCCTTGAAATGCCTAGATTTCTAACAAGTCGAAACCAGTACAGTGCAGAAACTAGTTTATGTCCACTAAAAGATGTGAGGGTTTATTAAAATTATAGATCAGAATAAGCCTAAGTCCACATTTTCTTGGACATAAAATTTTGTTTCAAAGTAGAACTAGCTTAAGTCCACACAATTCACTAGTATAGGTAATCTGTCCCAACAAAGGATACTTCTGCATTAAAAATTATTTACCCAAATATGGACATAGAATTTCTGTTCTAAAAAAGGATAGTTCTGCACTAACAATTATTTTGCTTCAGGACATAGGCTTATTCTTAATTTAATGAGTACGTGAAAAATATAAACGTTAGGACTTAGATTAGTACTGCACTTGATAGGCGACACCTTACTGCATCATATAGTCTAAAATCTCAATTTTGACAAAAATGGACATAGGCTAGTTCTGATCTAAAGGGACGAAATATATTGAGAAACTAAATCTGCCGCAGAAACTATACCTCTCACTTTCAGAAAGCTGCTATCTTAGGTAGTTTGTCATATAGCACGCAAGGTCCTGAATGTAGCCACATAGACAAGAGAAACCAATAGTCACACTCAGACGCTTGCAGTATAATGCCGCGTTTGAGGATACCACCTGCAATAGCAGAGAATAGCTAACAGAAAACGGAATAATAATAATAATAATAATTATAATATAATAATTATTATATAATAATAATAATAGTTATAATAATAATTATAATTATAATAATAATAATAATATAATTATAATAATCATAATAATAATAATAATAATAATAATAATCATGATAGTTATAATAATAATAATCATAATATAATAATAATAATGATAATAGTTATAATAATAATAATAATTATATAATATTAATAATAATCATAATAATAATAATATATTACATATCTGGTTGCTCTAGATTGATTATTATTGATTATTAGTATTATTATTATTATTATTAGGATGATTATTATAACTATTATTATTATAAAATCTGATTATTATGATTATTATTATTATTATAATTATTATTATTATTATTATAATTAATATTATTATTATAACTATTATTATTATTATTTGATTATTATTATAAATATTATTATTATTATTATAATAATTATTATTATTATTATAACTATTATTATTATTCCGTTTTCTGTTAGCTATTCTCTGCTACTGCAGGTGGTATCCTCAAACGCGGCATTATACTGCAAGCGTCTGAGTGTGACTATTGGTTTCTCTTTGTCTATGTGGCTACATTCAGGACCTTGCGTGCTATATGACAACTACCTAAGATAGCAGCTTTCTGAAGTGAGAGGTATAGTTTCTGCGGCAGATTTAGTTTCTCAATATATTTCGTCCCTTTAGATCAGAACTAGCCTATGTCCATTTTTGTCAAAATTGAGATTTTAGACTATATGATGCAGTAAGGTGTCGCCTATCAAGTGCAGTACTAATCTAAGTCCTAACGTTTATATTTTTCACGTACTCATTAAATTAAGAATAAGCCTATGTCCTGAAGCAAAATAATTGTTAGTGCAGAACTATCCTTTTTTAGAACAGAAATTCTATGTCCATATTTGGGTAAATAATTTTTAATGCAGAAGTATCCTTTGTTGGGACAGATTACCTATACTAGTGAATTGTGTGGACTTAAGCTAGTTCTACTTTGAAACAAAATTTTATGTCCAAGAAAATGTGGACTTAGGCTTATTCTGATCTATAATTTTAATAAACCCTCACATCTTTTAGTGGACATAAACTAGTTCTGCACTGTACTGGTTTCGACTTGTTAGAAATCTAGGCATTTCAAGGCGCCACCGTACACGAATAACGCAGATTACCTCAGTTTAAAGCAGTTCTTAGTGTATAGTGATCGAGTTTGCGCAACGTAAACAAATTAAATATGAGTTCTAGAAGGAAAAAATTTTTGATCTTCTGGCCAGGCACTGTGATGGTAAGTAGTGCTTTTCTAGCTATACAAATATTCTTAAGTAACACGTTAACATTGGAAATACGTTTTTAGCTACTGGTTCAGGATAAATTCTATTTATTTTTTTAATTGTATAAATAAAAAACAAATAATACGATCTACACTCATAAAACTCTGTACTGAATAATGTTTACTTTATTTTTTTATAGATACCAATCATGACAAACTAACAGTATCTGCAAGACCAGAAAAAATAGACGCCCAATATTTGATGAATACAGCAAATCTTATGCCGCCTGGTTATTTACTCTCTAAGGAAACGGCTGCTTTTAACAAGAGCGATAATGCATTTTGCAGTATGAACCTCGAAAATATAAAATCAGTTTTGAGTATTGAATCCAATAAAGTTACACCGATTGTGGCCGATAAAGGAGACGCAAATGCTAGTGAAGAAGTAAGAAGTGTTCTCGAAAAAATCATAGGTAAGCAAACTAACGAGTAAAAAGAATTAGTAATATTAAAAATCAAACACTTTACCAGTAAACAAGCAATTATACTCAAGGTACATGGTATACATCTTGCTTAGGATAGGATTATTGGCAAGCATACTGAGTTTCAGTCAAATAAATGTATGTGGCCCATTTTTTAATAGAAGATAGAATAATAAGAGTGTTTTATAAGGTGTGTATACTTGTATCCTCAAAAATAATATCTAAATCTCCGGTTTGTTGATAACAGTTTTAAGGCTAAAAAAAACAATAGGCTTTTGAGGCTTTTCAACAACAATATTTAGTTATCCTTGGGGTCTAGAAAGTGAGTACCTCCGGTCTGTTTAAAAAAATAATCATTTATTTATTTTTAATGTTTGTGTAAGTAATTTTGGTCTCATAAATGATTTGGTTTTTATTTTCGTTGTCAATTTTAAAAGTAGGTATTTTGTTATAAATTTCTTACTGAGACTTTTTGTTCTAGATGTAATAGAAACTGACCAATTGGACCCTGAAAAATGTGGCAAACGGAAAAATATTGTCGAAGAGGATCTGTATTTATCATCGGACACGGATCCTTTCCAAACTGATGATGAAGAAAACGACCCTAATTTTAATCCACAAGAAAGCAAAAAGAAGAGAAAAACTTTAATTTTGAAAACAATTATCAAGAAACTGATACAAGTTCTAACACAGATGAAAAGAATAAAAATGCTAGAAAAATATCTAAAAAAAAGCTAAGAAGAGAACATACTTGGAAAAGAAACATAATTAAGTCATCGAGAAATCAAGGAAAGAAATACACCAACTGGAAAGGAAAAAAAACAATTAGCAAGAAAAATGAAAACATCATGTGAAGAGAAATGTAGAATGAAGTGTCTAAATAAAATGAGTGAAGAAGAAAGACATAAAATATTTACTGAATATTGGGGATTAGGAGATGTCAACCGCCAACGTGATTTTATATCCAAATATGTTACAGTAGTTTCTAAAGCTAGAACTAGAATTCGTAAAAAGAATAAGCATCATCCCGCTGAATTACCAGAAAAGAATGACAATACATTCTTAGAACTGTCTAATGATAAAAACAGTAGAAGAAACAGTACTTTTACATACTCTCTTCCCAAAAATGAAACAATAAGGTGCAAATATGTAAAACTTTTTTTTCTAAATACACTGTCAATCAGTGCACAGGTAGTCAAAACCGTTATGAACAAAACTGGAACTTCAGGTATTGTTTCCGAAGATAGACGAGGAACAAGCTTGCAAAAACACTCTTATTGACGAGTCTACTAAACAAAATGTTAGGGATCACATAAACTTATTTGAAACAATTGAAAGTCATTACTGCAGACAAAAGACCAGTCGTAAATATTTACCCCAACACTTAACGTAAGCAAGATGTATACCATGTACCTGGAGTATTGTCAGGAAAAGAATATTAGGAAAACAGTAACTGAAGCAATGTATAGAACAATCTTCAATAGAGATTTTAATCTATCCTTCTTTCAGCCCAAAAAGGATCTCTGCGATATTGCCACAACTACGATAATAGTTCTCTTGAAGAAAAATTAGAGTTGGAAGAAGATTATCGCATCCATATCCTAAATAAAAATAGGGCAAGAGAAATCAAACAGTTTGAGAAACAAAGAGCAGCTGAGAATAGCAGTGAGGTTTGTTGCGCTGTCTTTGACTTGCAACAAGTGTTGCCAGTTCCCAAATCTAATGTTGGCCTGTCCTATTACAAATTAAATTATCAACTTACAACTTTACTGTGTACAACCTAGCAACAAAAGAGTGCAATTGTTACATGTGGAATGAGGTAGTCGGAAACAGAGGTGCCTCTGAGATTGGAAGTTGTTTACTTTTGTACATTATCAGCCAAGTAGAACAAGGAATAAGAGAATTTAGCTTCTTTTCTGACAACTGTAGCGGTCAAAACCGCAACAGATTTTTGTACTCTTTGTACAGCTATTTATCGCAAAAATATCAAATAAAAATAAAACATACCTACTTAGAAAAAGGCCACACTCAAAGTGAAGGCGATTGCGTACATAGCGTAATAGAAAGAGCTGCTCGAAATATACCTATATACACACCAGATCAGTGGTATACGGTTGTAAGGACAGCTAAAAGAAAGGATCCTTACAAAGTAGTTGAGCTTGCACAGGAAAATATATATGATTTAAAAGATCTTGAAAAAAGACGTGTATAACTGGGAAAGAGATGAAGAAGAAAACGAAAGAGTGTTTTTAAATAAAATAAAAATCGTTGAAGCTGATCCACGTTTCACTAACACTTTACTTTTTAAAGTTAATTACGACTCTACCTACAAGAAATTAAAGCTCACAGAAAAAGGAAGAAAAAAAAATAGATGTCGAGATAGCCTCACTAAAACTAAAACCATGCTACGAAAGGAAATTTCTTTGAAAAAACTGAAGGATGATAATCTTCAGTTTCTTTGCAGTAAAGGAGCAATTTTAGCGCCTTACCATAGTACTTTAAAAATTACCATTTTCCAACAAAACGAAACTTTCAAGATTCCGATAGTGATGAATAGTCTAAGATGTTTTTTATTTGTGTAGAAATTTAGGGTCAGTTACTTAAGAAATATTTTTCATTTGTTTTAAAACATGTTATTTTAATTATTTAAAAAATTAATATTTTTTTTTTTTAGAAACTCAAGCTCAGTTCCATTTGTTAAGGAATTTGGGCTCAGCTACTTAAGTTTTAAGTATTTTATTTCTATTACTTACTAACTGTGTATTAATAAAAATTATTCTAATAAATTTTATTAGATGAACATTTGTGTTTTTATAGAAAAAAGTCAATAAATCAGTTTTCACAAAAATTTTGAAGCAGTAATAGATAATATTTTACGTTATTATCGTAGCAGGTTTTGAAAAAAGTCATAAAATTAACCAATGACTATATTATGTCCATAAACATACAATAAGCCTAAGTCCAAGAAGTGGACTTGGTATACTTGCTAACATTAAAAGTAATCTATGTCCAACTTTTTGCTTTAACGTTAATGTTTTTCGTTTTTACTAAGGTATATTAAAAACAGACATTTTTAGAACATGTGTACAAATTTTCATTAAAATATCTGTATAAATAAAGAATCTATTAAAAAAAAACCGTTTCCTGAAAACTTTGCTTTTTGGACTTAGGCTAGTTCTATTCTAAGGGACGATTTATGTAGACTCTTAAGTATTTCTCTGTGGCTCCGATCACTATTGGGATGACTTCAACTTTTTCTTGATTCCACAGTGTTTTACTTCTGCAGCTAGTGGTAAGTACTTGCGAACCTTTTCTGTCTGCTTCTCAGCTATGTTATGTGGGGCAGGCACACTAATGTCAATTATGCAGGTAACTTGCTTCATTTTATCTTGAACTACGATATCTGGTTTGTTGTATTCCATGGTGTGATCTGTTTGAATTGTTCTATTCCAGTATATTTTATGGCTGTTAGTTTCTATAACTGGAGTCGGCTGGTACTTGTAATATGGGGTGCGGTCAGTTAGTATGTTCGCAGCATAACAAATTTCTTGGTGAACTATTTTAGCCACGTTGTCGTGGCGCTTCAGATACTCAGTGGAAGCTAGGGGAGTGCAGCTCGTCAGGATATGCTCTATTGTTTCCGACTTGTTATGGCATATACGACATCTATCTTCAATGCCTTCTTCTTTCATGGTGTATTTTCTATAGTTAAGGTTGGTATCACCTGATCTTGAATGCCAATCATGAAACCTTCAGTTTCCGAAAATAGCTCCCCACTCTTCAGCCATCCATGTGACGCTTCTGCATCAATGTGATCTGAGCTGAGCATGGCTGGATGTCTTCCATGAAGCTGTTTGGACTTCCATTGATGATACCATTGTTCGTCGGTGGTTACATGGGTTAGAGGTTCATACTGTTCATCCGACAGGTTCAGTGGTGTGAACTTGTAGTCAGCTGAAGCTATATTTCTGTGATATGCAGATGTTTCGCCCTTTCTATAAAGAATCTCCTGAGGTTTCTATATTCCGCAGGTTAGCTGCTTTAAGGTCAATCACGCCTCGTCCCCCTTTGGATCTTGGCAAGTAGAATCTTTCGATCGAACTCTTGGGATGTCTTGCTCTATGATTTGTAAATAAGACTCTTATGTTTCTGTTTAGCTGCTCTAAGTCAGCGTCTGTCCACTTGATTATTCCGAAGCTATATGTTATTGTCGGAATAGCATATGTGTTAATGGCCCTTACTTTGTGTATTGCGGACAGATGAGTCTTAAGTATTGATTGACCCTACTCGTTAATCTTTGCTTTAGAGCTTCTTTCATATCTTTGTGTTTGATACCCCTTGCTTGATCTAGTCCCAAATATGTATAGCTCTCTTTCTCAGACATGCTTCTTATTGTCTGACCCTGCTCTAACATAAACCCTGGGTGATCTTCCCATATGCCTTTTCTAATAGCCCCAATCTTACACTTGTCCAGGCCAAACTGCATTCTTGTGTCAGCACTGTATCTCTTTATGGTTTTAAGCAACCTGTCCAGTCCATCCTTAGTGGCAGATATTAGTTTGATGTCATCCATGTAAGCTAGATGGCTTATTTGTAGGTTGTTCTGAAGCTTATAACCTTCGTTCTTCTTGTGCAGCATTCTAGATAGAGGTGCTAATACAATACAGTACCATAAAGCACTTAGTGCATCTCCCTGGAAGATACCTCTTTTAATGCTGATTGCACCGATGTTGTTATTTTTTCTTTATGGGTTATTACAAGATTAGTTTTCCATTGAGGCATAAGGTTTTGCAGCAATCTCACTATACTAGGGCTGATTTATATATTTGGAGCATTTCAATTAATAGAAAGTGAGGAACACTGTCAAAGGCCTTTTTATAGTCAATGTATGCAACATACAGATCTTTCTTACAGCCCTTTGCTTCCTCCGCGATGATTGTATCTATTGTAAGTTGCTCTTTGCAGCCACGACTTCCCTTTTTGCAGCCTTTCTGTTCTTCTGGGAGCAGATGATGCCTTTCAGGGTGCTGGTAAATTTGATCGCATAAAATTGAAGTAATTATTTTATATATGGTTGGAAGACACGTAATTGGCCTGTATTTTGATGGATCGCTCACAGAAGGGAATGTTTTAGGAAGCAAGTAGGTGTTTCCCGTTGTCAGAAATGCTGGAATGGATTCTGGATCTTGCAAGAGACTTGTGCAAATCATCGCTAACGTGTCGTGTGTGCAAGTGATTTTTTTGAGCCAATAGTTATGGATGCCATCAGGTCCAGGCGCCTTCCATTTTTGCATGTTGTTTATAGATCTTTTAACATCCTACACAGTTATGACGTTGTAGTGCATCATGGGCATGTTTTCGGTTTTCCTCTTTTCATCCGCGAGCCAACTTGTTTTATTATGAGTCTTAGGGTTCTCCCATAGGTCAGCCCAATATGTTAATGCATCTCTAGCTTCTGGAGTTTTACCCGTAGTACTTACATCTTCGTTTTCCAGTGAGCGATAGAACCTCTTTTGATTCGTTCGAAATATGCTATTTTGTAGTTTTCTTTATATCGCTTTAGGCGATTTGCGTATACAGACAACCTTTGTTGGAGCTTATCGAGGATCTGTATCGGATTTTGATTATCCTCATCATGATGTCTCTGGGTTATTGTTGTGACTTTATTTCGCAACCGGTTGGACGGGGCATCTGACTTGATGTACTGAACAAGGGGGCCTATAGCTGCTCGTAGATCT